CAACGGAATAATGCCATTACGTAGTAATCATTATGCCATTATTAATCATGTTTTATTCATTCCATGCCTCTTCCATGCCTCATGCCTCTAGCTATAGATTAACCTTTCAGGGTTATAAATAAAACCTTGTCTTTACAATGATTGATAGTACTAACCAGATTTTGGCATCACAAGCATTTGGAGCAAATCTAGCATAAGCTCCATCCGTTTCAAGTAGAAACACGTGGACAAAGCCAGATGCTGTGTTGCTGCTTGCTACAGTGTATAGCTCAGAGGCTTGGAGAGGAATGCTCCGTTTTCTGCCATTTATATTTCCTTTAAAACTATGCCTGCTACAATGCTCCAATGCATAATAGGCTTTAGGCTTTAGTTCAGATATTAGGTTCATATTACAGTACTAAAAGTCTTCAAGGTGCTTTTTTGAGAACACAATTTTATTACATTCAGGTCCTGGCTGATTTTCTGTTGTCTTATATCAAGAGTGAGAAGTGTTTTGACAATAGTGTCTTGGCCACCACTCTCAACCTAGCGTATTCACTGTAAGGGATGAGTATTGGATTTCATTGTGGAAAACAGTAAGTAATGTCAGAGTAGACTGTAGCAGTTGCCACTGTGGCATAACGCCTTCTCTCTCACAAAGTTACTCTTTGGTTATGACTTCTATGGGCCAATGAAAATATTGGGATTTCCTTTTTCTTCCCAGAGTTGTAAGGATTCTGGGCATCTAATTCAAAAAGGGGGTTTCCTGTTCCTCCTTTCTTTCAGATGTGGAGGCTATACGTCTCCATTGCTGATAATATTACTGTAAGACAGTCATAAAGACATCCTTCTCCCAAATCCTATTGTCACACTTTTAATAATCATTTTTAAAGATGTTAAGGCGGTCTTCATCTTTGAATGATAACATTACCATAAGACAGTCATAAAGACGTCTTCCTACCAAATACTGTAGACTTTTATCTAAAATCCTTCTGGCAGTTTGTGAGGCAGTTATTTTAGCAGTACTTGTGAGAAAAAGGTTGTCCCAGGAGACCATACAGACTGCTGAAACGCCACACTCTCATCCAGTCTGTTTCCACACTAACCACCAGCCTGAACCTTGACACTGAGACCGCAGAAATATAGATTACTGTCATTTCAGCCCAACATAAACACCAAAATCACAAGTTCTGCTTATAACTCCATCCTGCAGGCTTCCTCCTCGTTTCGCTGGAACGGCAGTGTCTTGGCGTCTTTAACGACTATGAATGTTACAGAATCAACTAAAACAGCAGGGATAGACCATCACAAGCTCATCATGCATTTGAGTTGTCTTTCCATTTACTGTAGTATAGCTTTGATATCCAACACACTTACATAAAACATTGACGTTCTGATTAAGTGTTTTAAACTCACTGTTGTCACTCCATTAACTTCCGTTCCAACTGAAAGCAAGACCTTTCCCATTGCTCTGGTCCTAAAATTCTAAACTTAGTGAGTGATTTAAACTAACAACAGCTGCTTGATATCACTGTATAACTAGTACACATTTCTCCTCAAATTGAATTTGTTAGTTGAGCCAGACATTGAGTAGTTTGAACAAGCCTGATTTCTACTCAAAGATAGTGACAGTGGCACTGCAATAACCAGATATCCCTATTTTCACAGGACACATTCATGATTACAGAGGACTGAAGGGCAGACACAAACACTGTGGGACGGCTGGAAAGAGAGAGGGCAAGATTGTGTGTCTGCATCTTTAATTGTAGTTATCCCTAACATCCTCTCTCTTATCAAAGGAGATTCAGGAAGTGAGTTTGCTTGTGTTGTGACTTGAACCTTCTGCCTTAGGGCACCATGAACCATCTTCATGGGTTATTATGTGTCCAACGTAAACAATGGTTTTATACAGTAGGCCTGTTGCAGTGAATTGTGAAGCACGTTAAAAATGAAGTTATAAATGTGTAATACACTGCTTATAAAGATTATTCACAATATTATCAGGACACTGTACAATACCATTACTTTCTTAACCACAGAGCCACAATGACAGTCAGCACAATTGATCTTAAATAGGTGACATAAGATTTGATTAAATAGGTGATATAATTCAAGTAATAGTACAGCTCAACACATGTTCAGAAATTGTTTAGAAGTGTTAATGGAGTTGAGAATTAGGTTATTGACAGCTGTCTGTCTCCTAATCAATTGTTAGAACAGACAGTCCTTCTCCTCAACTTTCATTTGGTTGTTAACATAACAGACAGTAGAGAAAACCTGTTTAGAGCTACAAAATGGTACCTGCAGAAGGCTGTAAACATGGCCCTGCATATGGAAATAATGGACAAACCACCAGCAGGTGTAGGAAGGACAGAAAGACAAAGGACAGAAAAAACACAAAGTACTGTAACTGTATGGATACATTTCTGAAATATAATTTATATGTTCTACAAGGCTTAACCTGTGTCCAGGATACCGGCCCACAGAGTCTATCTTTCGTTTTACAAGAGTAGCTCAATAAAGTTGTAATAATAATGGTGCAAAACATTTCATTGTTCCCTCTGATATGTTTATTCATTGTAATAAGAAAGTCAGATATGTTTCTAGGTTGAATGCCCTTAGTGACATCCCCGAGCCGACTAGGTTAAATATCTGTCGATGTGCCCTTAAGCAAGGCACTTAACCCTAATTGCTCCTGTGAGTCGCTCTGGATAAGAGCGTCTGCTAAAATGACTAAAATGTAAAAAAAATACAGTAAAAAAAAACAAATGGGAGAAGGAATGAGGTCAGATATGGCCACGTTTATAGAAGCTGCAACGTGTCCTCTCACTGAGTGCAATGAGAGTGCTTTGTAATACTGCCACATTTTCTTCTCTTCTTCTTCTCTAGCATCATCGTACACATGAGATTGGCAACTCAGATTTGGATAAGCTCCATCATGCAAATACAGTGCATTCAATGCCAGCAGTGATTGTTGTGCTTGATTGTATGCCATTCAATTGTCTTTGTCAAATTTGTGTCAACCATATGCTGCATGTGATGAGTGAAACAAAATCACAAAATGAATGAGTCCTCTAACTTCTGAGAATAAAAACAGAATGTTGGATGCATGTTTTAGGGATTGAATTTAATAGAAGTTTTGTTTAATAGTAAACACTTGAATGAGCGTGTATACAAGTAATCTATTAATTTCAAAATCATCTCAACAACTTTATAAACTCATAGCACACATCGTTCAAAATATCAGTATCTCAAGCTCCCCCCAGGGCATTTATATAAGTAATATATAACTAGGCCACTCACATGTCACTTTTCCAATTATTGTCAAAGGTGATTGATTTCCAAACCATATAGGCTATGTCTAATCTCATCCTGATAACATATGATTCAATAATGTTAACATCGGTGCTATCATTCAATAAAATGACATGAGACCCCTGACCCATGAGAGATGAAGGGTTCCCTAGCCAGCCTTGCATAAACAATTAACATCTCTGTGTGTAAAAGTTTGTGCATATAAGTCAATCAACGCTTAAAGTAACTGTCCAGTGAAAATCTCACTTTTAAAAGTTAATATTCTGTTCACTCATACCCAAATAATGTCCTATACTCATATTTGTGGCCAAAGCATAAATTGGAGGAAAAAAACAAACACTTCAAAAATCCCACCTCATAGCTGTATCTCAAACAGACTGTTTCAAAAATGCTTGCTATTTCCTCATAGAGGATGATGTCATCCTCCTGAGGAGGATGAGCTGGCCAATCAGCGGTCTACTGAATATTTTTTATGACTGGTTTACACCCACACCATTCTGTTTTAGGAGTACACCCACACCATTCCAACACAGAAAAGCTGCTTTTTAACATACTTTTTTTAGAAGGAAAACTATTTCACAAATAATTGTTATTAATTGTAGGTCATATTTCATCGAAATCTGGAAACACTGGTTACTTTCTGTGCAATCAGATAATTATTCTGATGCTTGCATTTCATGACACAGTGCTGAAAAACATCCCCATCCAACAACATCTCAAGATTCACAACCCAAACCCAGATGTTATACCACATAAATACATTTGAACAATAAAACACTTAATTGCATCTATCAGATTTACAGTGTTGGGGAGTAGTGAACTACATGTAGTTCAACTAGTAATGTAACTACATTTTGCAGTAGCTTGGTGGTAGTTGAACTAAATTCAAATGTTGGTAATGTTTTCAGTAGTTAGTTAATTTTTTGCTATGTAGCAGTGTAGCTAACTACTGGAACTACACACTACTTTTTTTGCCAAATAAAATATGGGTGAAGAAGGCAATAATTTCCTTTCCTTTTCAGCATCAGACCTGCCCAATTCTCACTTGAAACATAGTTTTTGTGTCTACTAGGCTAAATTACGCATTCTATTAACATCTGACTCCAGAGTGATATGTTCTTGCAATTGGTAGTCTATGACATTTCAGATTTAGATATGATAATATATCACAAAGTAGTTTAGAAGTAGTGAACTACTTTTCCAAACGAACTTAAGTTAAGTAAACTATATTTTATGAATTAAGGGTAGCTTTAGTTTAGCTGAACTTCTTCCAGTGTAAAATAATTGTTAGCTTGGTAAACTATATTTGCAGAGTAACTTCCCCAACACTGCAGATATACAGCAGGCAATATAGTATGTTCCAAAGTGTTGATAAAAAAGATGGAGCGTTCTCCACACCTTGCCTCAAGTTGAATAGGCCACTGTCAAGTTTTAAAGACCAACGAAAGTGGATGTTTGAGCAAAGAACATCCACGGGGTCGGTTAACCGTTTGACGGTTAACCGTTTGAAGATGATGTATCCTATACAAAAAGAAAAAAAGCGCACCGGTGTTTGAACGTCCACGTTTTACCCAAAATGTGAACTTGTTTGACACCCCCCCCCCCCCCCCCCCCTTGTGAAGGAGGGACTCCTTTCACTTGTACAAGTTATCTTCTGCGCCCAGGACCTCCCCAAAAGTTTGGCATATAAAAGCCCAGATTATTCATTTGTTTAGGCAGTAGGGAGGTTCTGTCTGGGTCTGGATTGGAGTAACAAAGAACCGGACCCTACTTTTTATGGTTGGAGTCTGAGGAGTAAAAACAGGATTCCCCTTGCCTCAAAGAGTCTACATGTCTAATATTTAGACATGTTCAGCTTTGTGGATATTCGGTTAGCGCTGTTGCTAAGCGCAACAGTGCTATTGGCAAGAGGTCAAGGAGAGGACGATAGTAAGTATCACTTTATATGAGATTATGGGACACAGGGACGCTCGCAAGAACAATGGATAGCGCGTAAATGGATGTTGCGCAACTTTCTATTATGTTTGGGACGATGTAAATGACGCTTACCTACCCTGTGGCACACCTGACGTTAAATTGTCAGCAAACATCATCAAAAGGGTTATACTATTGCTTTTGGAGCTCCGAAGCTCGATGCATTGAACAAGGATTGTATATTTTTCTGCTTCCATGGCTGAGCGTTCCCTGGCGTGCAGACACATGTTCAGTGAACCCCTGCTCTCGCTGTTCACGCGCTATTTCATGTCCTCCGGCAAGGGAAATTCTAGCTGCTGCAAAAGCTTGGATGCGCAATGATGACATGATGTTAAGATGGAATTGGAATACAATACAAATATACAAACCACTTGAAACAATTATATTACTTATGTTAAATCAAAATAAGCAATAAGGAAATGTTTTTCAGAAAAAAAGCTCAGAACAAAATATTATTCTCCTTCTCATATCACCCAAATCTAGGAATTATATTATGTACAATAGCAACAACGAATTGTGCCAGGACTGGATCAAGCTCCTGAAAGTTTAGGCAATAGGAAAGCCAAGCCTTATTCCTCATTAGCCTACTAGTATAAATGGAAGTTTGTAGCCTATTTAATAAACTTCATGGCATCTACAATAAGACGTTTCCATTGCTTGGTTTATAATAACTTTAAACCTGGGAGGCTAATTAAGTGAAAATAGTTGTACTATGACGTCTTCAGTGGAATTGTCTAGACATCAATTTATCAGATTGGGTGGGTATAGTTAGGGCGGTGTGTCGGTGGATTATAATGTCATTGTACAGGCTTGGAGCGCAGCTCTGTGGCAGATATTGGAAATGTAGGCCTCATCACCAGAATGACAAGACAAGCCTGGGCCGACTGCCCAAATCCCCACATGACCCCTTGCCAGTGGGCCTTTATTGTAGGCCCACTGTAGGCTACAGGCCTTTCTGATGTTAGCTATAGGCCTAGGCCTACTTCATATTATTTCGCTTGTGGTTCAAAGTTCAAACATAGGCCTTGGTAATTGTCATTACACATTAGGCATGCCACAAAGCATTTCATGTCATTTGGAAACTTTTTTATGTTTCGCAGGGGCGGCTCCCCCATTTTCACCGACCACTTTACAACTCCCATTAGACATCCCCATGGCCTTTGGCCAATGCTGGTCTACTGCAAAGGCAACAACCAGTGCAACACAATAGGACATTCAGTTAATTTATGACTATAGTTTGGAAAACAATGAAGGGAAAACCCTGTCTCTGTAGGCTACTTTCTGTTAAGAATTCTCTAAATCTAAGAAATATCTAAGAGATTTTCTAGTTGGCCCTTGGGATGTTGGTAGGTCTTATCAATCTTAGGCCTATGTCATTAATTGAGAGTGGCCTCCTAGGATCCTACATTAGGCCTACCTGTGGCAGGACTCCGAGTTTCACAGTCATGACTGGTTTGCTATTTTAGAATTTTTCCTGCATTGTGTCATTCTTATTCAAATACGTTTGGGTCTAGCCTACATCTTAGTAGCAGTATGCCTACACAGTTTGTTCTGTTGAAATAATGTATCATTTTTATTTTTATTTTTAGTCATTTAGCAGATGCTCTTATCCAGAGCGACTTACAGGACCAATTAGGGTTAAGTGCTTAGTGTTAAGTGCCTTGCTCAAGGGCACATCGACAGATTTTTCACCTAGTCGGTTCGGGGACTGGCACAATGCTCTTAACCACTAAGCTACCTGCGGCCACTTTTATCAGACATAGTTTGCTTTTGAAATGCTCACTTCTGATAGGTCTATTCAATTGCCATGTGACTTATCTTGCGTCTCCAAAACTCTCAATCTTTGCAGGCGGATTCGGCAGCTGCTCGTTGGACGGCCAACAGTACAACGATAAGGATGTATGGAAACCAGAACCCTGCCAGATCTGCGTCTGCGACAGCGGAACCGTTATGTGCGACGAAGTGATTTGCGAGGACACAACCGACTGCGCCGACCCTATCATCCCCGACGGCGAATGCTGTCCTATCTGCCCCGAAAGCGAGGGTAGCCTACCTTTGATGACCACTTACACCTGTGCCTTTGGTAGCGTTCTGGCGCCCCCAGTGGCACCAGTAGGCTGCAACGTTTCCAGTTATAGACAGAGGGGAACAAAGGGAACCGGGCGGGCTTTACACAGCCTTGAACGCTGGCCATAACTTAGAATGGACTGTGGATACCTTATTGAGGATAAGCATTAAAAAAATCACCTTGGATATTACTATTGCTTTTCTTTTCCCCCCACCTTCTTTATGAATGGATTAACCCTGTTCAATGCTGGAGATGTGGATGTGCAGATTAACTTTACACTCACATCTTCTCATATATAGGCCTAATCAGCATTAGGCCTGTGATGCCTTCACACACTGCTATATATGGGATCCAGCAATACATTAATTGTCAACACAGTATTATTGTACATTGAGAATCATTGTTTTATAGGATACGTTTTTTACATTTACATCATTTAGCAGACGCTCCTATCCAGAGCTTTTACTACCAAGTTCATGTTTGATATGAGTTTATAAGGGGTAATAATAGTATGATCTCTTCCTCTTAATTGATTTCATAGGTCCCCAGGTACCAGTGGTGCCTGAGCCAGAGGTATTTATGTACATTTTACCACTAGTATTGATTGTGTTAATTATGTTATTATGTCATGTTTTATATGTGTTATAACACATGTGTTATTGTGTTACTATGTCAGTGAAAAATCATATTATCAATGCATGACAGTTTTAATATTATTGAATAATGATTGAGCTCTGGCCTTCTTACAGGCATCATAAATAAGCCCATATGTTCATTATGGTTCATGTTTATTCAAACTGTGATACCTTTCAAATATGCTGTAGGCCTACCATTTAACCCTCCACCAAAGGTTCAATGCCTTAATTTATGCTAGGCCTACTGTACATGTGTACTGACTCTAGTAGGTCATAGCTCAGTAGGCCTACACCACTCTCATTGAAGTGCAGTGAAAGGAGCACTGCAGCACACCTGATTCTCTTCCTGTTGTTGTACATCCACAGGGACCACAGGGAGGCGTTGGCCCCACTGGTGATGATGTAAGTTATAAACTGTTTATTTTCTGAAATGAAATGAAATCATATATTTATATATATACATACATATGTACATGTATATTATACATACATGTATATACTTATTCATATATTTACTAAGGGTACAGTTTTTCCATGAGAGACATAGGGGTAAAAATCACGGTGTATTAGTGTCACTGATTCTTTTGACGAATCATGGCTTTGTGGAAGTGGTGCTTGAAGTGGAGGTTGAGATTTCAATTGTAAAATATTGTAAACACAGGTGGGCATTTCGGAAGGGGAGGAGCTGGGGTTTAGGCAAAGGCTTTGACTTATCTGCTGTTTCTATTCAGTACAGATTTAAGCACCTCAGCACAGAAAAGCTATTTTGCAGTAGAGTTAATACTATGTCCTTATAACTTCTTAACTTACACCAATCTTTCAAAAAAAGGATTGACATTAGTTTCTAGTGACTGGTATGTATTTTTCAAGGGTTTGACCTATTGACCAATCGACCTTTGGTTCAACTTTGACCTTTGCATCACAGGTCACAGGTCAAGTGCTCCTGTGGGTGGTACAATCCAGATGTAGCTTTCTAGCACATGGAGCCCCAGATTCAATCATTTGAGAATTTTTTTTGTGGGGAAAACAGCAGAGCCAGAACTGCTATTCATGGCATGCACCACTTTTTCACCTCAATCACCACTTTTAGGTCTATACCAATGGAAATAGTCCTGCATTTATCTAATACAGTGCATTAGATAGCACTGTATTTGTCTAAAGCAGTGCTTACAGAACTGTATTTATCTAACTAACCCAGTCATGGGTTGTTGAAGGCTGAGCTCTTACTGAGTAACTGCCAGTCCATCTCTGACTAGCTGTGTATCTGCCTGTCTGTCGATCTCTCTGTCTTTGTTACTAAGAAGCTGTGTATCTGTCTGTCTGTCCATCTCTCCAGGGTCCTGAGGGTGTTCCAGGTAACGATGGCATGGATGGCCAGCCTGGCCTGCCCGGCCCCCCAGGCCCCCCTGGACCTCCTGGCCTTGGTGGCGGAGTAAGTTACCTACATGACAAAATAATATCCAAAGGCTATTTCCTGTGGATATTTACCAGTCACTACCAGTCTAGTACCAGAGTTATCCGTATCCATGCTTTTTAGTACGCCTGAGAGGAAATATCAATAGATATCTAAGTTAGAGAGTGGTGAGTGTAGCTCCCTGCTCCTTTCAGCACCAGCGGTGTGTGGACAGCTCCCTGGTTCGCTGCTCTAAGTCTAGCTTATGGAGGAGTTAGACTAGAGACAGAATACAGAGGCACACAATAAACTGTTATGATTGTTGAGGCAGTTAGTAGTAGAGGGAGACTATTCCTCCTTATTAATGGTGATGATAGTAGTGAATAGCCACATTGTATGATTCATTGTTTAATCTATCAAGCTGTTATTTCACCCTCTGACTAAGGTGCATCCCAAATGGCACCCTATTCCCTATGTAAAACTTACAACTTTTAGAAAAAATATGATTATTTCTTTCCTTTCCTGCAGAACTTCTCTCCTCAGATGCACCATGGTTATGACCAGAAATCCAGCGGTGGCCAGGCCCAACAGGGACCAATGGTATGAATGTCCTCTTCCTGTCTTCCTCTGTGCTGTTTTAGTGATCAAAGTGGAGCCACATTTCCAGGCTAAATTGAACTAAGAGGTCTGGTCTCAGGCAGTATCAGAGTACCATTGTGAACTGTACATTTCTGTTGTCTGGATTCAGAAATGCACAACCATTATGTATGTGGTCTATTACCAAACCTCTACAAAAGCAGTCTTCAGAGCAGTGTTTAAGCTATATAGTTTAAGCTACCAAATACTTCACAATGGAAGAAGTTAAGCTACGCAACAAAAAAATATATAGTTCTATAGTTACTTTGAAAAAGTATTTCACTACATCCAAACTACTTCGTGAAAAAATATCATATCTAAATCTGAAATGTCATAGACTACATATTGCAAGGTCAGATCACTCTGGAGTCAGATGTTAACAGAATGTGTAATTTAGCCTATTAAACACAAAAAAGGTTTAATTACTAGTTGAACTACATACAAAACCATTTGGACGCTACAGACAGAAGTTGACACATCAGCTGTACCGACTTCAGACAAGTCCCGTGAAGCTTGTGGGGGTTGTAGAGCAAAACCACCTTTCAATTTCTTTATTATACTGATTAGGTTTCCGCGGGTGCGCGCACATCGACTCTAGCTGCATGGTATTGCTGTTTTTGAAGATCATGGATCCTGTCATAGTTAGGTAACGATTGCCTATGCAGTGTAGTTTATACTAAGCTAGTGCTTATACAGTACGATGCTTTTAGGTTTGCAGTAGTCCTCTGATAGTGATTGCTCACAATGATCAGCTATGTCTTTTATCCTTTAGATTACAATACCTCACATATTCACTTTATCTCAATCAAAGGAGGTAAAGTACTGCTACAAATGGAATAATTGATTAATTGACTAATTGGTTGTTGTGTTTTCCATCAGGGCCCAATGGGTCCCCGTGGTCTCCCTGGCCCACCAGGCAACACTGTAAGTATCCTTTCATGTATTGTCAACAACAACAACCTCACTCATTTCATGTTTATAAGAAAAATAATGAAACATTTATTTGCATCTCTGTTTACTATACCAGGTAAGTTCTCATGTCATCAGTTCCCTCTGAACATAATATGTCTAATGATGTGAAAATCATCCCAGTTATAAAAATTTTTGTACATACATTTATATAGTATACAGTGTAGTGTATTTATATTTGTCTTAAGTAATTTATATCTTATAACAATACTTCTTATATGGCCGGATTCCCGGACAGATTAACCTTGATCCTGGACTAAAAATATATTTCAATGGAGATTCTTCATTGAGCATGTTTTTCAGTCCAGGAAAACCGGGCCATATTTCTTATAACAAAAGTGCATATAACCCGTGTCACATGGTCGGATCTGTGTTCCTGTCTCCACCAGGGTCCCCCCGGTCACCATGGTCCCCCTGGCGAGCCCGGTGAGCCTGGTGGTTCTGTGAGTATACAAAAATGACAACTTCCTGTTGATTTAAATATCAACTGACACACATTCACACATTCGGAACGCACCACTTCCTGTCCATCACCAACAGTTGTAGTAGCAACCTGCCCATAACCCCAAAAAATATGCACTAGCAACCTTTGCAAAGCAACATCAACACACAAAATCATCCATTTTGAAAGGACACATACATCCACTCATCTTTGTTTGTTCCCTGTAGGGTCCCATGGGTGAACGTGGTCCAATGGGCCCCCTTGGCAAGAACGGAGATAATGTACGTTATGTTTTTCGCACAATCTCAACTTTCCTTCTATTTCATTCCATTTGTCAGATCTGTAGCTCGAAAACCATGTTCATTTGTTAACACAGTAAACACAGAACTCAACATAGACTTTTCTAGTTTTCCCCGTTTGCAACTTACACCACAATATTTTCCCCCACTGTATATTGACATGTTATCATTACATCATTACATACATTTTAATAATATATATAATATAATCATAATAATTGTATCATCCCTTTTTTATGCAGTTTTTTATGCCACATTATTTTCACTGTTTGCCATTAGCGGCAGAATTGTTTACAGGGAGAGGACATCTCTGTCTCTGTGTCTCTCCATTAACATCTGTCTCCATCTCTCCTCTCTACTCTACAGGGTGAGCCTGGCAGGTCTGGTCGCCCCGGTGAGCGTGGCTCCGCTGGCCCTCAGGTGAGTGGCCCTCTAACCCTATAGGTCAAGGATCAGATGCTCCTGTCAAAACAGACCTGGTTCATATCAGTAAAGGACCTACAGGGCAGTTTTCCTTTGACCATAATCATACCCAATGTGTGTTTGATGAGAACCATTCTAATAGACTACGGTAAAAGTACATAACCACTAATACAAAGAGAGGTTAGTTTCAGCACTGAAAAGGCATACATGAAGAATGAAGACTATTTGCTTTATGTCCACAACATGTTTTCTTCTCCTTTCCTACAGGGTGGTCGTGGAACCCCCGGAACTCCTGGCCTCCCCGGCATCAAGGGACACAGAGTGAGTAATATAAGGAGGAGGAGGGACATGAGGATGCTCCAGGGTGAAGTTTCCCCTAGGTACAGATCTAGGATCAGCCTTTCCCTCCCCAAATCCTATCCCTAACCATTAGTATGGGAAATGTATAACTGACCCAAGAACAGCGACTTGGGGCAACTTCACCCTACTCCCATGATGATATGACGGCCATGACACTACCACTTTCCTACATTACACTCCTAACCATACAGAATGACACCAGACCTAAAAAATGCTCTTTGATTTCCTCCTCAGGGTTTCAACGGTATGGATGGAGCCAAGGGAGACGGTGGCCCAGCTGGCCCCAAGGTTAGAGGTCTATCTAATGATATCTATCACCATGTGAGTCTATCATTACCTGTTCTGGAGAACTCATCTGTCCCCCGGTGTTTTGTTACTCTTTTTCTCTCTATCCCTCTGACCACAGGGAGAGGGTGGTGCCCCTGGATCCAACGGTAACCCCGGTGCTATGGTGAGTATCCTGTTCATATGACAAATACACATTGATTTAATTGAAGTAAAGCGCTCGTCTCAATAAACATATCAGAGGCCTTTAACTCTCAGGAACTTTAAAGATATCAACCTGCCTTCCAGTAATAGCAAAGACTGAATAATGTCAGTTTTTTTAACAAAACGTTATGGCTCAGTGAAAGTAGCCAGCCACAGACATTGTTTAGTCATTACTGTACTATCTAGCATTACTGAACTCCCTCTGCTTCCCCCCTCTTGTCTCCCCAGGGTGCTCGTGGTCTTCCTGGTGAGAGAGGCCGCCCCGGACCCGCTGGCTCTTCTGTAAGTACCACACTTCACTGCCTTCACTGTTCATTTGATTGATAGATTGATTGATCACATGAATCGCAGCAAAACCTTAGACACTATCTCAAATGACACAGAAAAGTCTGAGACTTGAGACTTTTCATGTTGATGTATTGCTGCAATACCCCTAAATATCAACTCCTGTCTATAATGTGCAGTATGCTTACCCTTGTTCACCTGGCCAATATGCTTTTTCTTGTTCTTATCAGAACCAGAAATAAACTGAATTGATAATAATTCCCCCCTACTTCTTCCTCTAGGGTGCTCGTGGTAACGATGGTAACTCTGGTCCTGCTGGATCCCCTGTAAGTATTTGTATTACTGGTGACTAACCTGTCAACCTGTCAAAGCAATTCAGATTACCCCACTCAGTGTCATGTGTTGGTCCTGACTATGTGAATTTAACAAATGTTTATTTTATCTTTCCAGGGACCCACTGGCCCATCTGGTGCCCCTGGATTCCCCGGAGGTGCTGGAGCTAAGGTATGTCATACCCTCCACCCCTAACCCCTAACCCTAACCCACTTGTTGCGTCCCAATTCTCAGAAAGTGTGCCCTTGTACAATCCTCACCATGCATTTTGAAAGCATTGGATAGAGGCAGTTTCACCCATATTTCTTACACCAGGCCTTTCCTCTCAAATCCATGAAGGAAAGTGAACAAGTACACTCTTAAGGCAGAAGGGGAGAGAATTGGGAACCAGATTGAGAACCTGAGCTGATATAGGCAGTGGCCACCAGATGGCATATGTACACCTCATGTGGTTCTGTCCTCTTACTGTAGGCTACTGTATAGAGTGAGAGGATAATAATAATAATATGCCATTTAGCAGACGCTTTTATCCAAAGCGACTTACAGTCATGTGTGCATAAATTTTTACGTATGGGTGGTCCCGGGGATCGAACCCACAACCCTGGCGTTACAAGCGCCATGCTCTACCAATTGAGCTACAGAGGACCACAGGATGATGAAATCGTACAGAATATGAATGACATAAAAACAACAAATGATTAATTATCTTCCTACATTCCTATGCACACCCACCCACCCACCCACAAATACACACCTGCACACACACACACGCACACACACACACACACACAAACAAACACACACAGCCTCCCTCTCCATCCCTCTACACACACACACACCGGTAACATCAGTCACAAAGACTGTAAACATCCAGTATCTATACGCCCTCCTAATTCCCTCTCCGGTGCCCCTCTTAGGGAGAGACTGGTCCTCAAGGAGGACGTGGCTCAGACGGACCCCAAGGATCTCGAGGAGAGCCCGGTAACCCCGGACCCGCTGGTGCTGCTGGACCCTCTGTGAGTACTGTTGTGCATGACGTATGGTTGGCCTGATATGCTTATATGTCCTTATCTTACAACTGTAGATCCTTATATACTGTATATGTGTAAATGCTAATGGTTGACCTCATAGTGCACCATCTAACCTCTGACCCCTGAAGTTTACTGTAATATAATGTCCCCCCCCCCCTCTCTTCCCCTCTCTCTTCCTCTCTTTTCTTCTCTTCTCCTCTAACCAAACAGGGTGCCCCCGGAAGTGATGGCCAAACAGGAGGCAAGGGTGCCACTGTAAGTATGAGCCATGTGGATACATCAAACTGATTGTTCAGATGATCTGTGATTGATTATGTTCAAATTAATACTTAATATACAAATGATAATATATGCCACTTAGCAGATGCTTTTATGCAAAACAACTAACAGTATAGTATAGTACATACAGGTACTGGTGCACTAACGTGTCTCCTCTTGTCCGTCCCATAGGGTGCTGCTGGTATCTCTGGTGCTCCTGGTTTCCCAGGAACTCGTGGCCCCGCTGGACCACCCGGATCTGGTGGTAGCCCCGGCCCCAAGGGTAACCAGGTGAGTACCACTGTTACGATCACTATTTTGTATATTGGTCAAATAGCATTTAATGTATGCGTTCGCTGTACTGCATTATTTTGTTATGTGCTATTTTGATCAAGCAGTCGTGGCGAGTATTGCTTTGTAAATTGGTACAACACAAAATTCAATAGAACGCAGTCATTTAATGCATCTCTATGGGGTATAAAAACGATTAAACATTTGTAGCACTTCACTCCATTTTGTGATGTGTAATATTGACCAGGAAGTAGTGGTGTGTTACCTGATGGGATTTGTTTGTTTGTTTTCCCTTACAGGGTGAGCACGGAGCCCAAGGTTCCAAGGGAGAGCCCGGTGGAAAGGGAGAGCCTGTAAGTTTGCAATGAACTCAATGATATATCACCTATGGAAACACAATCTTGCACACTGTATTTAGCAAGCAGCTTACCATGTCTCAATACATTTAGAGCCGGTATCCGGGACACAGATTAAGCAAGCCCAGTACTGGACCAAAAAGCATCTTCACTAGAGAATCACAATTAATATAGCTTTTTTGTCCAGGATTATGCTTAATCTGTGTCTGGGAAAGCGGTCTCTAACCCAGGTGTATACACCTGTTTCTTCTGAAGGTATTGTTGGACAGGTGAGTTTACTGTACTATGGGTCTGGTCTCATATCTGACCCCTCTGTCCTTTCCGCCTCTTTCTCCAACCAGGGTTCCGCTGGTCCTGGGGGACCCCCTGGACCCTCTGGTGAGGAGGGAAAGAGAGGCGCCCGTGGTGAGCCCGGTGGAGCTGGTGGTGTTGGACCCCCTGGAGAGCGTGTACGTTAACCACCTCTGACTCCTCAGCCCCCTTCTCCCATGTCAGATAACCCTTCCCTGAAGTGCCCCTACTCAAAAGAAATGTGTCTACACAGACAGATTCATTTTAACGTTGTATTTTGTTTTCTCCATATGATTACAGTAAATTAAAATTGGGGGAGGGGGGGGATTTGAAAAACCATCAACCAACCATCAGAACCTCAGCCACCAGTCTATACTACTTAGAGCCTCAGCCACCAGGCTATACTACTTAGAGCCTCAGCCACCAGTCTATACTACTTAGAGCCTCAGCCACCAGTCTATACTACTTAGAGCCTCAGCCACCAGTCTATACTACTTAGAGCCTCAGCCACCAGGCTATACTACTTAGAGCCTCAGCCACCAGGCTATACTACTTAGAGCCTCAGCCACCAGTCTATACTACTTAGAGCCTCAGCCACCAGTCTATACTACTTAGAGCCTCAGCCACCAGGCTATACTACTTAGAGCCTCAGCCACCAGGCTATACTACTTAGAGCCTCAGCCACCAGTCTATACTACTTAAGCCCACAAACCATCTGCATACTGTAGAATACGATGAATTCCCAGGGGACAGTGTTTGTCAGTTGGGAGCCCTGACTTTGTGATATGGTGTGCCTGTGCCATGGTCCCATGTGTATGTTCCCATGTGTAATGTCGGTTCTGTTTCTTCCAACAGGGTATGCCTGGTATGCGTGGTTTCCCCGGCTCTGATGGAGCTGCCGGTGGCAAGGTGAGTCAATAGTCAAATATAATAATTATTATTATATAATACCATAATAATATGTGTACATTGTGTACACAACCAATACACTTTGATTTTATTTTTATAGTTAATAAACTATAAATCCATGTCTAAGAAACATGACACCTGGTGTAGAGTGAAGCACCATGTTTGGTCATACATTAAATGAAGGAGCACTGTAAGCGTCATAGCAGAACATTGTATTAAACCTATAGCCTCATTTTATTCAGCACATAAGCTAAAATATCCTTATCCTTAAATATGCTGGCTGTATGTCTCCTGATGGTTACCCTCATAGAGCACTATTTCATCTCTGAGCTCTGAAGCTTACTGTACTGCTTACCTATCAAAACTTGACGCAGACATCACCAATTGACCTTCCCATGTGATAGGGTGGCCCTGGTGAGCGTGGAGCCAATGGACCAATGGGAGCCCAAGGTGCCACTGGTGAGGCTGGTCGTCCTGGCGAGCCTGGCATGCCCGGATCCAAGGTGAGTGTCACCTGTCCACATCTCTCTCTCTTTCTTTCTCTCTCCTTCTCTTTCTTTCTCTCTCTCTAACCTTCTCTCTCTCTCTCTCTCTCTCTCTGATAAGATACTGTGCTAAGACTGGTGTAAAATAGTGGAGCATTGTAAAAACCAACCATCAATTCACCATGTGACCTTTAACTTTACTGTAAGAGCATGCACAGTTTAGTACATTATATATTATATCATTCACATAGATTTTGTACAGACTTGTAGTTTTTGAGTATTGTAACCTGTATTCCCAGGTAGAATGTCATCTAATGTGTGCTGTTCTCTCCCTGCCTGCTTAAGGGTATGACTGGTAGCCCTGGCAGCCCTGGACCCGATGGGAAAGTTGGCCCTGCTGTAAGTACTACTGACCTATTCACCACAAACTCAATGCATACTTAATTACTATATTATTATTATGATATATAATAAACTATATTGGCAAGAGGACATTATCGAGAGGATTTAACACGTTTTAACCTCCACGTCCCTTAGTCATAATGCATGTGGTAGTCATTTCATTTGTTCAGTCTGGAGGCCACCGAACCCTTTGATAACCTGTGTGATCCTTCTCTTCTCCTGATGTACTGTAGGGTATCACTGGAAACGATGGTCGCTCCGGACCCCCAGGCTCCTCTGGAGCCAGAGGTCAGCCTGGAGTCATGGGATTCCCCGGACCCAAAGGACCTGCTGTTAGTAAACAACCAAGCTAACAAACATACCAACAAATAAACATTCATTTCCCTCCTAAATAGTTTTTACAAACTAATTATTTTCACAGTACTATTTCATATACTGAGCAAATGAGATGAATGGTAGGGGTGGTGTATTCAGTGTGTTTTCTGACACACTGTATAGTATATGAATATATAGTAAATGTTGTCTGTCTCTTCCATATAGGGTGACAACGGCAAGCCCGGTGAGAGAGGTGAAGCCGGAGCTGTTGGTGGTGTTGTAAGTAAAGCTATACTTAGACCTGAAACAGATAGGATCAATCATTCATACTGTATCCTTTATGCTATATGGGCCCAATTTTTGACTGAAGTCCATGTTGTCAACTTATATCAAGTCAGAATAGGGCCCTTTGTCTATAGGCCAGTGTGTCCTTTCTTGGGTTTGTAATAGACTCCATCTTGTTTCTGTCTAGGGTGCTCCTGGTAAAGATGGTGACTCTGGTGCTCCTGGACCCCAAGGCCCTGCTGTAAGTGTTCACAAATATCTTTCTTAGAATTAATGGTACATTTAGCCTCACACATCTACAGTACATTGTCTCCTTCAATATTGGATTGTCTCTTAACACACTGAGACACCTTTGTATGAATCCACCCAGAAACCATACTTAAACTGTGCGCTGATATAGTTCCCTTGTGTTCCAGGGTGCTCAAGGAGAGAAAGGAGAGGGTGGCCCTGCCGGACCTAATGGATTCCAAGTAGGTTACCATTCACAATCCTAACCTCCACAATCATTACTTGTCTCGATATTCAAATTTCCAACCAATAATGTTACATGTTGACCTGAAATCTCAACCATACCACTCCCATCATCCCTATAGGGTCTGCCTGGAACTCAGGGAGCTACTGGTGAGCCTGGAAAGGCTGGTGACCAGGTAAGTAGTACCCTCCATCACAGAGATCCAGTAGGTTCTATATGCAATTCTATGCCCTCCATGACGTATTGAATTGATGGAAAATTAGACCCTATATACTCCTGGAAAGCAAGTTTTTACCCAAATGTAGTTGTTGAAGTCTAATCAGCCACTATTTAGCAATGCATTTCATTATGTGGCAACTAAAAAGGGCTATAAATACATTGGATTGATTAATCCCCTCTCCTCTGTCGCTCCACAGGGTGTGCCCGGTGAGGTTGGAGGTCCCGGCCCCAGTGGATCCAGAGTACGTACAGTACATTACAGCAGCTCTGGATAGGATCTGAGCCCCCAGAAGCTGCCATCTATCTATAAGCTGCCTGCTTCAGTAGCTGTTCCATTACAAACATGATGTTCACAGATCTTCTCCCCTCTCCTCCCCTCTTCTCCTCCTCTTCTCCTCCCCTCTCCTCCACCTCCTCAGGGTGAAAGAGGTTTCCCAGGCGAGCGTGGTGGCACCGGATCTGTTGGCCCCGCAGGACCTCGTGGAGCCAATGGTTCTCCTGGTAACGATGGTGCTAGGGTAAGAGAACACTGGAGAACACAGATACAGATTACATCATTGATTAAATCATTCAGTTGGTCCTTATGTTGACCCAAGGACTGAGAATTACATTAGGCCCCATACAACCATATCATTAGTGGTTTTCTTATTTATTTTTGCACCGCAACAAATATTTTTGTGGATGTAACATTTCTGTTGATATATTATTTTGTCATAATGTGAAAGGAGTTTTAATGTATGTGTCTCTGTCTACCATCTCTGTCCAGGGTGAGACTGGTGCTGCTGGTGCCCCTGGTGGTATGGGAGCTCCAGGTCTGCAGGGAATGCCCGGAGAGCGTGGCTCAGGTGGCAACCCCGGGACCAAGGGAGATAGAGGTGATGGTGGCCCCAAGGGAGCCGACGGTGGCCCAGGAAAAGACGGCATGCGTGGTATGACTGGACCCATCGGACCCCCCGGACCCCCTGGTGCTCATGGAGAGAAGGTAAGAGCAAAGTGCTGTTTGGATTAAACAGTTTGATTACTCAGTAAACGATGCAATAGAATTAGTTGAAAAACGATTGTGTAGTTACAGCCTTGTTGTATAACAGTAAAAATCTAGTCTTATCTCCGAATAAAATAAGTATTTCATTGAGACAAATATGAGATAGTTCTAATCTCACCTGATTGCCACTCTCCCACTCTTTCTCTCTCTGTGTTTAGGGTGAGGGAGGTCTCGGTGGCCCCCCTGGCCCCACTGGAGGTCGCGGTTCCCCTGTGAGTATCTTCCAATGACACACTACATGTTCACCTGCTTATGACGGTGGTGTAATACGCCGAATAATGGCACGCCATTTCTCTTTATCACACTGAATATGGCACATTGCTGAAATGCCTGTGTATGATCCGTTATTAAGAAGAAAGAAAAAATTGTTTATGTATACGTTTTTCTTTCCCAACCTCTGACCCTGTGTGTTTTCTACCCATAATCGTCTAGGGTGAGCGTGGTGAGCATGGTGCCCCTGGACCAGCTGGATTCGCTGGACCCCCTGTGAGTAGCATCATCACCCTGTCTGGTCCAGTCCACAACACTCTGAAGCTGGTCACAGTTCTGTTTCCAGGTGGAATCCCATAACCCAGTAATGACCAGTAATGACCAGTCCTTTCCACTTCTCTCTTCCCACTTCAGGGTGCTGATGGTCAGCCTGGCAACAAGGGAGAGACCGGTAACAACGGCCCCAAGGGTGATGCTGGTGCTCCCGGGCCCGGTGGACCTGTTGGTGCTCCCGGACCTCAGGTATGGCTGTCTGTTGCTGTCCAATCAGCTTTAACTCCTGACCCTCCAGACCCTCCCCACCAACTAGAACATTTTATAATGTGTCCAACTCATGCAAACTTATAATTTGTTTGAACTACAAGCTCAAATTTCCAAGATAGATAGAAATAGCATTTTTCATTTTGCAGTTTTTTCCTGAATCAACCAATTCAGGAACAGTTTTCAAATATACAGGACAAGTTACTTTTAGCTAACAGGGCACCCTTGTACAACATATATATCCTTAAATGTACTGTAATACAGTTACCGATTGAAATAGTCTCTCACCATTAGGAGAAGGTGCTGAGGACTGAATAGGTGATGTGACTGTTAGTGTGTCCTGTGTTCCTGTCCTAAATAATATAGTAATGTTCAGTGCAAATATTTATTATCCTGTGTCCTATTTATTGTTTTTATGGCCTAACTCCCTGCTGTTTGTGTCCTCAGGGTCCCGCTGGTAATTCTGGTACTAAAGGAGCTCGTGGTGCACCTGGATCCCCTGTAAGAACCTCAAACTTCTCCTTAAATCATTCATAACAACACTTTTAATTGCTTTAAACTGAACAGAAATATATACAAAACAAAGAATTGTAAAGTATGTGTTTTTTTGTGAAAGCTATTCTGTTATCTCGTGTGTGTGTGTGTGTGTGTGTGTGTGTGTCCGTAGGGTGCTTCTGGTATGCCTGGTCCCGGTGGAAGAGTTGGACCTCCTGGTGGAAGTGTAAGTTCAGATAACCAAGGTCCTCCATCTTCTCAACAATCTATCAAACAGTCCCATTCATGCAGACTGAAAAATATCAAGTTTGGCTTTTTGAGTTAAACATCTTTAACTCACATACTGTTATCCTTTAAAAAATGTGCTCTGAACAAACTCCCCTCATCTCCTAAATATTTTCAGGGAGCCCCCGGACCCGCAGGCCCCCCCGGCCCCGCTGGTAAAGAGGGACAGAGGGGTGGACGTGGTGAAACTGGTAATGCTGGTCGCCCCGGTGAGGCTGGAGCCGCCGGACCTCCAGGATCCTCAGGACCCTCTGGAGCTAAGGGTAACGATGGTCCGATGGTAAGTAAAGTAAAGTAAACATATATAAACAACAACAGCAGCAATAAACAAAGTAGTAAACAGAACAACACATCAAATACTAAAGGGATGAAGGGATGTTAGGCAAAGCATCACAAAATAAAATGAACCAGATGACAATAAAACAGAGAAAAAAATACAAATCAAAATATATAATGCTACTTTATTTGTATCATATGTAGTCAAATTCAAACAATGTTGATGAATCTCTTTATAAAGGCTTGTTCTGGTTCTCCCTGCTGCAGTGAATAACTTGTCATTTTTGCCTCTGTCTGTCATTTTTCTCCAGGGAGCCCCAGGAACCCCCGGACCTGGAGGTATTGCTGGACAGCGTGGTATTGTGGGGGGCCCCGGAGGAAGGGGACCCTCTGGTAATGCAGGAACACCAGGACCAGCTGTGAGTGTTCCATCAACAGCAACCCCCCAAAACACCGAACATATTACTCTTAACCGCTATCAAAAGTATTAACTCACAAAAAGAATTACTTTAGTCTTAGCTTTGTCTCTACTCCCAAAGCCTTCACACTTGACACTTAACCCTTGACCTGTCCCTTGTCCTCTTTCAGGGAGAGCCCGGTAAGCAGGGACCTGGCGGCCCCGTCGGTGAGCGTGGCTCCCCTGGCCCCATGGGACCCCCTGGACTTTCTGGTGCGCCCGGTGAAGCTGGTCGTGAGGGTTCCACTGGTCACGATGGTGTTTCCGGTCGCGATGGACCCCCCGGCTCCAAGGTAAGCCATTATCAAAGCGCTTTACAATGTAAGGGAGGAAACTCACCTCATCCACCAACTGGAAACTCACCTCATCCACCAACACTTGTCCCCATCACTGGTGACATTAACCTGATGGCTCTTTGTCTGTGTGTGTGTGTTTGTCCGTGTGTGTGTGTTCATTGCAGGGTGACCGTGGTGAGAATGGTCATGCTGGTTCCCCTGGTGCTCCTGGACCTCCCGGTGCCCCCGGTCCCTCTGGTGCTTCTGGCAAGACAGGTAGCCGCGGAGAGACTGTAAGTACCTCTTCTCATCAATTTAGGGGTCGACTATAGTATCTCTGTAACTTTCAGGCCGAAGGCCTTAGAAACATTTTGGACGTTTTGGACATTTGTTGGACTAGCTCGCAATGTTACCCTGACATACCCTGTGATATGTCAATGTTACCCTGACATACCCTGTGATACATACCCTGTGATATATAAATGTTACCCTGACATACCCTGTGATACATACCCTGTGATACGTCAATGTTACCCTGACATACCTTGTGATATGTCAATGTTACCCTGACATACCCTGTGATACGTCAATATGCAGTATATGACCAGATTAGTGAATCACCATTCATTCAGGTATTATTGATCATTTTTAGTATATGCAGTTATTCTATACACATTATCCTTGATTCTCTCTCTTTCTCTCTCTTTCTCTCTCTTTCTCTCTCTCTCTCTCTCTCTCTCTCGCTCTCTCTCAGGGTCCTGCTGGTCCCGCTGGCCCTAACGGTCCTGCTGGTGCTCGTGGTGGTCTTGTAAGTTTGCTGTCAGCATTTTGACATCCATACACCTTAACCTAATGCATTGTAAGGATGTCCGATATTTATTGACAGTGTTGAATACCTGTTTGACCCCTTGGCCTATTTCTGAAGGGACCTGCTGGTGCTCGTGGAGACAAGGGAGAGGCTGGAGAGGGTGGAGAGAGAGGCCACAAGGGACACAGAGGTTTAAATGGCATGCCCGGTCTTCCTGGACCCGCTGTGAGTATACCAGGCTTATTATATCATACAACTCCTGACTAATCTAATGCATCATATCTTACAGTAAGGTACCACTCTTTATGGTTATGTACTGCCATTTTAAAAGTTGTGTTTATTTGATTTGAGGCAATAAGGAAGCATGCACATTGTCTCTGTGTTGGAGATCTGTTGTTCTCTATGCTTTACCATGGCTAATGTAATGTGTGATTAATGTGATGTATCTGGTTCTAGGGTTCCCCTGGTGAGTCTGGGCCTGCTGGACTTAACGGACCTTCTGGACCTCGAGTGAGTATGACACCCACTTCAAGCCCATCAATAGAACATGAATCATGGCTGATAATATAATATACATATGTCATGTTGTGTCTTTACCATAACAACAAGATTACACACACCAGATTACGCAGGGATTTCCTATCTATTCCTTTATTAAAGTAATGTTGCTTGTGGAATGGAAGGAATAGGACCACTGATGAAGGCCATTGATGAAGGCTGAAATGTCAAGTTGTTAATAGTTGTTTAAATAAATAATGGTGAGCGAGTGTTGTGCCTTTTCCTTGTCAAGGAATATGACTTCTAAAGGAGTTGTTGTCTCTGTCATACAGGGACCCCACGGTTCTTCTGGCTCCCCCGGAAAAGATGGCATGAACGGTCTGCCTGGACCCATCGGACCCCCCGGACCCCGTGGTCGCAATGGAGAGATGGGAGCTGCTGTAAGTCTCACACTGACCTCTTCCTTTCCTCCACAAGCACACACAGCCTTTGAGGCCAGATTTGACCCCTTTCTATCATCTTCTTTCCTACCCAGGGTGCTCCTGGTTCTCCTGGTCTGCCTGGACCCCCAGGTCCCGCTGGCGGCGGCTTCCATGTCGCACCGATCTACAACCAGGAGAAGGGACCTGACCCCATGCGTGGAGGAGGATACCACTACCGCGCTGATGAGCCTGACATGATGAACGACCGTGACATGGAGGTGGACACCACCCTGAAGAGCATCAGCCAGAAGGTGGAGAACATCCGCAGCCCTGAGGGATCCCAGAAGAACCCCGCCCGCATGTGCCGTGACATCAGGATGTGCCACCCCGAGTGGAAGAGTGGTAAGTTCCAGGCTCAGTCCAGCTCACGCTCCAGACAGACACTGGTCATGGACTAGGCATGCTGTGATCTGCGATTGATTGGTTGGTTGGTTGGATTTATAAGATACTCAAAACATAAACAGCCAAAAACATCAAAGAGCTAGCAGCCTACATAAAAAACTCAAAGATAATACAATAACGTCTATTTTATTTTACTTTCATTTTCACCTGTATCCTTATCTTCTGTTCTTTCTTTAACCCACAGGCCAGTACTGGGTGGACCCAAACCAGGGGTCTCCTCTGGATGCTGTCCAGGTCTACTGCAACATGGAAACCGGAGAGACCTGTGTCTACCCATCCCAGGATACCGTCCCCATGAAGAACTGGTACACCAGCAAGAACATCAGGGAGAAGAAGCACATCTGGTTCTCAGAGTCTATGGACAATGGCTTCCAGGTAAGGACCATTCAGCGTAACCAGATGACAAGTACTCCAATCAAAAGCTTGGATAGAAATGACTTGGACTAACACTCAAACCTGGATTGCTAGGGACATGGGACTCGACTTGGACTTGAGGTTTAGTGACCTGCCTTCACTACAACACTACCTTCATGATACTAACCCTCCTCCTCTCTCCTCTCCTCTCCAGTTCCACTATGGTAGCGAGGGCTCCAACCCAGAGGACGTCAACATCCAGCTGACCTTCATGCGCCTGATGTCCAACGAAGCGTCCCAGAACATCACGTACCACTGCAAGAACAGCATCGCCTACATGGACGAGGCCACGGGCAACCTGAAGAAGGCCCTGCTGCTCCAGGGAGCCAACGAGATCGAGATCAGAGCCGAGGGCAACAGCCGCTTCACATACACCGTCAGCGAGGACGGCTGCACGGTGAGACGCTTACTACTACTGTTTACTTTTACTGTCCTCTACTCTCTTCTATCATCTTTCAACTCCCTTCTGCGCTCTTCCACTCTGCTGCTATTCTCTTCTCTCTTCTACTCTCGTATTTAACTGTCTTCTACCCCTCTTCTACTCTCCTCTCCTCTCTTCTACTCTGTGGTCTTTATATCTCTTCTCTCTTTTTTGTGTCGTTCATCTGCTATCACATGAGGTGGTGGTGCATTGGCTTCATTTTGAGATAAGATAGTGTGAAATCCATGTTATGGAACTAAATATAGATGAAGTGACTAAATAAAAGAGAGGTTATGTAGAAGTTAGTGTGTTATCAATCCCCTTTACCAGGACTGCTTTTTGATTCTGACCCATGCTCTCCTCTCTCACCACTCCACAGTCACATACCGGCACATGGGGCAAGACAGTCATCGACTACAAGACATCAAAAACATCTCGCCTGCCCATCATTGACATCGCTCCTATGGACGTTGGTGCACCTGATCAGGAGTTTGGCGTCGAAGTTGGCCCCGTCTGCTTCGTATAAAAACAAAAATAAATGTGGACATGAAATTGTTTTGTTTTCTAGCAGTCATCTCTAATTCTATTTTCTATACATTACCTACAAACTCATTCGGCTGCCAAACAGTTCCACAAGCTTGAAACTACTCTGCTGAAGACGTCGTTTGCGTGTTTTTGATTCTGAATAATTTGTTTGAGGGGACTGCTACTTCAACTGAAACCTACAACAAGCATGGACACTTAAAAAATAATATTTTGTTTCCACTGGCAACAAGAAAATCATTTTAAGTTGTAAAGTGTAAAATCTCCCCTGGAGAAACACAATGAGATACAGGTGACTTTTATACCACTGCGGAAAGACAATGAAAGCAACAAATGCGATGTACCATTTTCTGGTATTAAATCAATCTTAAAAACCGAGTGTCTTCTAAATTAATGACAAAAAAAACATCTGAAAGTTCACCTTCACTTTAAATACCTTAATGGCTACCTCAGAAAAGAAGTCCATGTTACCCAAAATGTTTCATGAACCCTAGGGCAGATTTTACACTACAGGACTATTATTAGAAAGAAAACAACTGTCAGAGGTGCTTTAATATCAACTCATGAGGTCCAGTTATTGGTATTTGATAGAGAAATCCTTTCCTGTCATAATTAGCTAACAACCATTGGATCTTTGGTGCTAACAAATCAACACAATGTCTTCCTTGTTGATAATGTAGTTCAATTGTTTTCTTTGTCAAGTGTTGGTTAATTAACAGTTCCGGAATATGATTTACTGTGGATATAATTCATGCTATGGTGTCTGGTGCAGATTTAAGCAAATGGTTTTGTTTTTAGTTATATTTCATTTCCCCTGCCCCCACCTGATGTTTAAGTGTCAACCCTTTATGTGTGCCTTAACCTTCCGATTGACCCTATTACTGCACCACTCAACCCCCCATCCTTTTGTTTGTGTTTTGTTTGTTGAAAAAAAATAGGATTTCTAAAAAAAGAAAAGAGTAAAAAAAATCTGAGAAGCAGACACACTTCCATGGTTTTGAAAAAAGAGAATCTGTACTGATGTTGTACGTGTATAATAAATCAAGATGTTTTTAATTATTTGGATACTGAATAAAGCATGTGAAGTGGTCTACTCAATGTTTGACATGTCACCTTGGTTTTCTCCATTCATCTCACATCAAACCTAAATCAAACCAGCAACAGACAATCCAGTGACAGTGGCTGATAGATTATACAAATGTAATATTTTATATAGGTTATTTTTGGCTGTTGGTAAAATAATCTCCCAAATAGCTTAAAGTGTAACTTTCCTTAAAATCCTGAAATCTGATATTCTAGGTTTATAGTCAAAAAGCCCATGTTGACCCCTTTCTTGAGAAACATAATATTAAGGAATTAACTGTAGCCCTAGTTGTCACAATGACTTGATAGACTATTCATTCCTTCTCATCGAACCCTGATGAATGTGAGTTGCAGGACATACAGTAGATGCAGAACGGTAAGGAGCAATTTCGATTAAAAGTGAAGCGCTATTAGGCATAGTTGTTTTGATTGAAACAAACTAACAATTTTCTAAATCTCTAGTGCTCCGAATTTGCAACGACACAATAATTACGCAATAATAAATATTAGTTGACCATAATATACATGACTATCTGCATAGTCAGCCACACATTTTGATTGAAGCTTCTGAGCCTTGTTGGGTCCTAGAATTAGCAATGTAGCTTTGTACTGACACCTGGTGGAATTCCACGGAACAGTTCTAAAATTACGATGGAGTACGGCAGGCTACTGTGTGGGTTACTGTCCGTCTACTATGGAAAGCCGTTTTAACATAATCCTCCAAACCAGAGTGCGGCGTGGCATGGCCTTGACAGTACACGTTCACAAGTCCGCTCACAAAACGGAGACATGCTGAAACGTGTGGATTTTGTGGATGCTATTCTACTACAATGCCGTTTTATGGATAATCTGCATTTTTGTTTTGAATATGAAGCCCAGATGACAAGTGGAGTTTTGATTCTGTTAATATATATATTTTTAAAAGAGGATTTGTCTTCCTAAAGATGATTTGGATCAAATGGAATAGTCGATGGTCCTCTGTGTGGTTCACTTTGCTGTTTATATTGTGTTCCTAATTTGCTTCTCTTTGATAGTATTATGGTAAGTACTGGGCATGTCTTGGCAGCACTCCTCTGATTAAGCAATCAATGGACCAATGTTGTTAAATGGTAATTACATAATTATTGCACAGGCTATTTGGTGATGGCGCTGACCATTAAAACAATAATGCAGTTGGTTAGGGGTTTTATTAAGGAAAAACATTCAATATATGAATTCTACCTCGACATGTAGGCTATATATCTACCAAGGATTTGGTTTTTCAAAAAATACATTAATCCAAATCTATGGCAGAATTACTCAAATTTAGTAATGCATAAAATATGTTTAACACAAATTCAGAGGTAACAGTCACTCAACACTCACTCTTACAGAAAAACCACATGATTTCACATGTGGAAAATCACATGATTTCACAATAAATTTCACATGTGAAATCATATGAAAACTGTGTTTATGGAACACTGTGATCACGTTTAATTTCATGTTATCACATGTTGCTTTACATGTTGTCATATGTTATCACATTAACTTCACATAAGATCACATGAAAACATGTGTTTTTGGAACACTTCAAGTGTTCACGTGAAAATCATGTGGTTTTTCAAAGGATAATGTGATAAAGAAAGAGGATAAAGAAATTATCATGTGAAAAGAAAACAACTCAAATCCCACAGAAAACCAGCAGCAAACCCATAATACATTCAGTGGAAGTACAGTATGTCTTGTTTGGATGGCTTCATTTCCTGTTGGAACAAAAACAATATTGTAAAAAATAATCCATGTATGTATTTCATAATCGTTATTTTCTTCTTGCTGTACAGTTTTACTCATTTATTCAGACACATTTATTCCACTGTGTTACCTGGGTAGTGTGTCAGTGTTGATTTCCCTGAAAAAACAAATGAAGAATTGAACGTTATGGTTCAATTTAATAGCAATGATTTTTTTTTTTTTTTTGGTGTCCTAAACCGTTTATTACTAGTTTAACTAAAGTAATAATGTGTTTATAACATACATGTGTTGAATAAAATAAAAACTAAATTGTATGGCAATATTAACCATCAACCCCAATATTAAGCACCTTTATGTCTGATTTGGAATTTAGTGGTTCACTTTGAAGTTGCTCCACTAGGTGGTGGTATAGTTTACACCAAATTTGCTCTCTCGCTCCTCTCTGATGCGAGAGAAGCGATAGGCGCTAAGCGAGCTATATCTCCGAGCTACTCGGATCTCTCTCGCGCTCTTCCTCGCTCTATCTCTCTCGATCTGTCTCGCTATCTCTGCGCTCTGATCTCTCTCGAATCTCTCTCTCTCGCTCTCCTCTCTGCATCTCTGCCGTCTCTCTCTCTCTCTCTCTCTCTCTCTCAGCTGTAGCCAATATCTAGCTAAAGCACAAACAAACTAGACCACCAGGCTAGGGTTGAGCTACTGCAGTGAACACTCTACTAATAGTAGTAACAGTAGACTACTCACTGCTGGGCCAGGATGAGGGGGATGCTGGTGCTGTCAGTCTGGAATGGTGGGGCCGTCTCCCCGGTGCGAACGTTGAACATGGACAGGGTGGAGAGGGGAGGGGGGACCCCACGACCCCCAGCCATGCTCCGCAGCTCACTGGTGTTACCATGGATGGTGTGGTGGTGGTAGAGCTGGATACTAAAGGAACAGACAGAGGGGAGGAAGGTTTATATACATTAGTCCAGTGTGGGGGTAATACTAAGCTTATCCTTGGCAAGTATCATAGTATAAAAGAATATTGGGTTTAGATATGTGGTATGGAAAGGTACGCACTCTGGTGTCTTTGCATCTCTTCTCTCACTGCAAATAAAAAACAAAACATGTTACATAACAATGAATAGTATTACAAAGTTGCTAAATTCAAAGATATTTCATAATTGAAGGTTGCTGCATTTGAACGTATTCAATAAGGTTTTCAGTAATAAGTTATAGCTGGTTGTTATTACTTAACAACATTAGCGGACTAATGCCAATCTCAGTGGAGTACAAAAAAAAGCATACACTCCCTCTCGTCTGCAGCACATGATGTAGGCCAGTAGGAGACACAGGATGATGGCCAGAGCCAGGGGGACGATCACAGTCACAATGTAGTCTGGCAGGAAGTCTCTGGGAGGGGGGGACTCAGGAGGGTCATAGACCCCCCCAGCATCCAGGATACCTGGGCCCATGGTGGGGGCAGGAGGGAGGACCACCGGTCCGGACAGATCAATCTATGTACAGTAGACACAGGGACGGTAGAGTAGGATTCATATTTAGGAGGGAGGGAATATAGGGTGGTGACCATGTTGATATACTATTTAATGTTATTTAAATGATTAAAATGTTTGTTCCCACCAATCTACACCTTGAGAATGAATTGCAAAAAACATGTTGGCAATGGCTTTGGATGTGTGTAGACAATCACATTTTATTAACTCACTCTCTTTACAAGAATTTGACATAATACCTGCAGCTGATTCATTTCATTGTTCATTCAGATAAATGACAATGTTGGTAATGTTATGTTTCCCCCAAAGTAATCTAATGACAAGAAAACAGATGTTTTGGATATACCAGTGCTTGTGGACTCACCAGTGTGGACTTGCACCAGGTGACACAGTTGCCTGGGTAGGAGCAGACCTTGCAGTCCCCAGGGATCTTGGCCCTGCCCCCGGCCTCACACTGTCTCCTGTGTTCAGCAGTCTGGAGCCTCAACAAGCACTCAGAGAAGTACTGGTCTGAACCAACCTTCACATACACCCTGGGACCCAATACATGACACTGGCTTAGTTAACAATGACTGTACTGTACCTACTGAATATTCTGTAATGTATCATGTACTAAAAACTTCAATAAAATATTCCCTTGATTTAAATTTCAGTTTGAGTTTGACCTCTTTCTTCCTGAAAATAAATGTGATATTAAAAATGCTGGTTGTTTTCTGATCATTTAAATGAAATCTTATGTTGCATGATTTGACTATTTTTGTTCAGATACATGTACGCTACAAGGCCTACTTGGGGAATGAATAGTGTGAATTCATGGTGTACTTCTCCTTCTGGTCTGGGATGCTCTCTGTTGAATGTTAGTAGAAGTGACAATTAGCGACAGATGAGATGTGACACTTCTTTACCCTTCGTAGTGTCCAGCCAGAGGCAGAGGGACACGGCCACCTCGGTCCAACGCAGACGTGATGTTGACAAAGTCCAGCCTGTCTGTCTTCCACATCCTCATCATATCCTGCCTGATCTCTTCCTGAACTGTAGAGGGCAGCACCTTCTCAATCTCCCTCAGTGGGATGAAGAACTCAGCCTGGTAGGGCATTCTCTTCACTGAAAGAAAAGCCAATGGGAGAAACAAATAAACCAGTATTCACTACGGTCACTGTGTGTATCTGAAATGGCACCCAATTCACTATATAGTGCACTACTTTTGACCAGGCCTCATAGGGCTCTGATCAAAGGTAGTGTGCACTATATGGGTCGTTCTACAGAAGTGGTGTAAATCGGGGGTTGAAAAAAAAATCACATTTGTATCCTATTTTAGCACACATGTCTTCCAACATATGTCAGATATACATATCTACTACTCACACACTGTTTGTATTGAATATTTGAAATATTTACCTGAATTCCTTACCACCCCACTAAATTTGTCACTGTTGAAACATAGTGTAAAAGTTGCAATAAAGGGAGATCCATGCACAGTAGTGATACTTTTTTATTAACCTTCTATTATAGATTAACAAAATAGTAAAAACATGATTTTTAAATTGAATTTAGAGAAATATCATTTCTATTGTTCTCTGTAAAATGTTCATTTTTGATTGTATGAATCTGAAACTTGTTAATTGATTGAATTACTTATGTATCTAATTAATTATGTTTTAAAATGTTTAAATTTACCTATCTTTATTTTGGCAAAATAACAGGCGTTTTGGTGTCAAATGTCAATCATAGAGATAAATAGACGGCTCTAGCTGGAACTAACTCGTTTTGGTATAGGCATTGCCATTGAGGGCTTCCACCATTTAAAAGTAGTCAACTGGGTGGAAAATCATATGGGTTGGGAGTGATCAGCCAATGATCAGAGCGCATTGTCTTCTTCAAATTGGGTTGCCTATGGTTTGTAAACCAAAGACTAAGGTAATATCCAGGAGCCAAGACCAATATTTATACCAAGACATTGGTCCCAAGATCCAGACCCAGACCCAGTGAGTTGAGACCATGACAAGTTAAAGAACGAATAGATCAAGAGTCCATGGGCCCTTTCTTCAATTGTAAGAAACTCAAGTAGAGTAAACTCGAGTACAGTACAGTACAGCACAGTACAGTAGAGCATAGTATAGTAGGGTACAGTAGAGTAGGTTACAGTACAGCAGATTACAGTACAGTACAATAGAGTACAGTACAGTATAGTAGAGCACAGTACAGTAGAGTACAGTAGAGCCCAGTAGCGTACAGTACAGCACAGTACAGTAGAGCACAGTACAGTAGAGTACAGTAGAACCCAGTAGAGCCCAGTAGAGTAGAGTAGAGTACAGTACAGTACAGTAGAGTACAGTACAGTATAGCACATTATAGACGTCTGTGTTTTGGCCAAATAGATGTAAATGTTTGGGCTCTTGGAGGGTTGAAGCCCCCTGCTGGCTATGCATCTCAATACTCTTCACTTTTTCCTGAAGTGTACACTTGTCCACATGGTGGTCCTCTGTAGCTCTGTTGGTAGAGTATAGTGCATGCAACTTTAAAATGGAGATAGCCTCGATGGCGCTGCCCGTGCTGTCACAGACTCCATAATGGCACAGATACAAAGATGAGACCTCTATACAGTGAGGGAAAAAAGTATTTGATCCCCTGCTGATTTTGTATGTTTGCCCACTGACAAAGAAATGATCAGTCTATAATTTTAATGGTAGGTTTATTTGAACAGTGAGAGACAGAATAACAAAAAAATATATATATAAAAAACACCTTAAAAAATGTTATAAATTGATTTGCATTTTAATGAGAGAAATAAGTATTTGACCCCCTCTCAATCAGAAAGATTTCTGGCTCCCAGGTGTCTTTTATACAGGTAGCGAGCTGAGATTAGGAGCACACTCTTATAGGGAGTGCTCCTAATCTCAGCTTGTTACCTGTATAAAAGACACCTGTCCACAGAAGCAATCAATCAGATTCCAAACTCTCCACCATGGCCAAGACCAAAGAGCTCTCCAAGGATGTCAGGGACAAGATTGTAGACCTACAAAAGGCTGGAATGGGCTACAAGACCATCGCCAAGCAGCTTGGTGAGAAGGTGACAACAGTTGGTGCGATTATTCGCAAATGGAAGAAACACAAAAGAACTGTCAATCTCCCTCGGACTGGGGCTCCATGCAAGATCTCATCTCGTGGAGTTGCAATGATCATGAGAATGGTGAGGAATCAGCCCAGAACTACATGGGAGGATCTTGTCAATGATCTCAAGGCAGCTGGGACCATAGTCACCAAGAAAACAATTGGTAACACACTACGCCGTGAAGGACTGAAATCCTGCAGCGCCCGCAAGGTCCCCCTGCTCAAAAAAGCACATATACAGGCCCGTCTGAAGTTTGCCAATGAACATCTGAATGATTCAGAGGAGAACTGGGTGAAAGTGTTGTGGTCAGATGAGACCAAAATGGAGCTCTTTGGCATCAACTCAACTCGCCGTGTTTGGAGGAGGAGGAATGCTGCCTATGACCCCAAGAACACCATCCCCACTGTCAAACATGGAGGTGGAAACATTATGCTTTGGGGGTGTTTTTCTGCTAAGGGGACAGGACAACTACACCGCATCAAAGGGACGATGGACGGGGCCATGTACCGTCAAATCTTGGGTGAGAACCTCCTTCCCTCAGCCAGGGCATTGAAAATGGGTAGTGGATGGGTATTCCTGCATGACATTGACCCAAACACACGGCCAAGGCAACAAAGGAGTGGCTCAAGAAGAAGCACATTAAGGTCCTGGAGTGGCCTAGCCAGTCTCCAGACCTTAATCCCATAGAAAATATGTGGAGGGAGCTGAAGGTTCGAGTTGCCAAACGTCAGCCTCGAAACCTTAATGACTTGGAGAAGATCTGCAAAGAGGAGTGGGACAAAATCCCTCCTGAGATGTGTGCAAACCTGGTGGCCAACTACAAGAAACGTCTGACCTCTGTGATTGCCAACAAGGGTTTTGCCACCAAGTACTAAGTCATGTTTGCAGAGGGGTCAAATACTTATTTCCCTCATTAAAATGCAAATCAATTCATAACATTTTTGACATGCGTTTTTCAGGATTTTTTTGTTGTTATTCTGTCTCTCACTGTTCAAATAAACCTACCATTAAAATTATAGACTGATCATGTCTTTGTCAGTGGGCAAACGTACAAAATAAGCAGGGGATCAAATACTTTTTTCCCTCAATGTATATCTCTATGGTGTCAATTGTTTCGGTTGTAATGGTTTCAGTTCTGACAATTTTGGCTGATTTTGGACTTCAAAGAATCCCCATCGCTAACATATTGTATGTCTGGCTATCTTTCATTTGGACAGATGTACATCCCATCAAACATATACTTTAGTCCCAAAACCATACCTTACATATTTATTGATATACGAGATGTTCGGTAGTGACACTTCTTGAGAAATACATTAAGACTTACCAACTTGCTCACAAATTCTCATAGTGGAGAGGGGTGCAATCCCATCACCTGATATGTGTAGGGTTGTGGCTTAAGGCATATTCATTCTACAGTCTTTTAAAGTGTGTGTTTCTGTAGTGACATCAAAAGTGGGGACAGCATTTTTCAGAGAAAGATTTAAAAAACTAAACCACAGGAGGCTGCTGAGGGGAGAACTGCTCATAATAATGGGCAGAACTAAGCAAATGGAATGGCATCAAAAACCTGGACACCATGTGTTTGATACCATTCCATTGAATCCGCTCCAGTCATTAACAGGAGCCCAATGAAATAAACAAAACAAATAAGATCAGTATCTTTCAATGTAATAATAGAACAACTCAATATGTTCTATTGAAATAATAGTGTAAAAAAATAAACAATGAATTGCTTTATTTTCAAACATGAAGTTTAGGAGTGATGTATTGTTGTCTCTACCTTGCCCTTTGTGCTGTTGTCTGTGCCCAATAATGTTTGTACCATGTTTTGTGCTGCTACCATGTTGTGCTGCTGCCATGTTGTGTTGCTACCATGTTGTTGTCATGTTGTGTTGCAACCATGCTGTGTTGTCATGTGTTGCTGCCATGTTATGTTGTTGTCTTAGGTCTCTCTTTATGTCGTGTTGTGGTGTCTCTCTTCTTGTGATGTGTGTTTTGCCCTATATATATATATATATTTTTTTTAATCCCAGCCCCGTCCCCGCAGGAGGCCTTTTGCCTTTTGATAGGCCGTCATTGTAAATAAGAATTTGTCCTTAACTGACTTGCCTAGTTAAATAAAGGTTAAGTAAAGATAAATAAAATAAAAAGGAGTCCGGTTTTGGGACAGCCACCTCTCAATATAAATAGGTGTATAAAGAACTCATTTATACTATATCAGTTGAACAACAGTTGAACAACATGTTTGTTATTGCCTTGGATTAAATTAGAACATATCATGATGTAAATAAATGTCCTATGTTTGGATACTTTTTTTGGGGTGGGACAGCAATTTACACCACTTCACAATTTACACCATATAGGGAATAGGGGGCCATTTCAGGGATGTAGCTCAGTTGGTAGAGCATGGCGTTTGCAACGCCAGGGTTGTGGGTTCGATTCCCACGGGGGGCCAGTATGAAAAAATAGAAATAATCTATGCTCTCACTAACTGTAAGTCGCTCTGGATAAGAGCGTCTGCTAAATGACGTAAATGTAAATGATTTCGAGCCTTGGTAAAAAAGTAGTGCCATTTTGGATGCAGCCACTGTGTTTAGACTCGATAGTATGGTGTTGTGTGTAATATATTATCTCCCATCACAGAATACATACCTGGAGGGTCAATCGTTATGATCAGTCTGTCTCTGAACGTGTCATAGCTCCGTTTGTTAGTCACTGTGATCTGAAATGGAAAGAGAAATGGAGAGATATTAAATATCTTATCTTTAGACCATTACAAGCTCCATACTGTGCCCAGAAATATCCTTGATATTCATGCTTCAAATATGTTTAACATTTTTCTATGCAGAATCATACATATTTCAACCGAGATAAGTTATAAACTAGATCCTCATGGCAGTGTGTCTGTGTCCCAAATGGCACCCTACTCCCCAGCCTATCTCTGGTCAAACGTAGTGCACTATGTAGGGAATAGGGTGCTATTTGGGGCGCTACCTGTGTGTATCTCAGAGCACCACTAGTTGATGAGTCTGCACTGTGTACCTCTATCATACTCTTTCCCTGGGCCAGTGGGGTGCCGTAGAGGAAGCCGTTATCATAGTGGTGCCTCTGGGTAAATCGAAGCCAGCCAGGCAGGTCCGGGAAGGACTGCATGTTGCACTTAAACAGCATGGGATCATTGTAGACCCGCCCTGCTTTTCAGAATGGGAGAGTGGGAGAGAAGAGAGACGCATTACGGTTGTTGGTTGTATATCATTTGAGCCTTAGCGACACCTACCTGATGATACCCGCTGACTGTTGCATGAATGTCAGTGGTGACATAACAATACGTGTATTGAAGCTTTAAATGTACAAATATGAAAAATTACAATCAACAACCAACATTTAAATATATTCCTTGGGAAGGCTTTACATTGTTTCTATGCCATTGTTTCTGTTAGATTATTGCTATTAGTAATCACAAGCTTCAACCCACTGGGCACAGACTGGTTAAATTGTGATGTGTCAATCTACGTGGAAAATACATTGGATTTAAAAAAAGTAATCAACTGTTGTTTTGAGGTTCAAATTTCAACCACAGGATTATGTCATCATGGTAACCAATTTTCTAAATAGACAAACCTTATTATGTTGAATTTGTACTTTTGAAACCATGTCAGATCTTCAACATAATATCCGCTATAAGAATACAATAGGCTGGACAGCACCTCCTACTGGAGAGTTGATCTATCTACAGTTATCCCTCCAGTCTCACATACAGGGTTTTAACCAAGCCCTACTTAGCTTTGATATTTTTCAATGATTATTACCAATGTGCTATCGTGGGAATATTTTTTGAGAAATCACCGCTTAATAGATTCACTGTTGCTATTGAAGTCATTCCAATGTGTAGGTTCAACAGAGCAAATTAAATTAAGACATACCTTATCAATCATATATCATCAATGATGCTATTTAGGCCTATATACTGTAGCATTTGGGAAGTCATCAACAGCTATTATTTAAATTCAGCCCAGGATTCAACTAAAAATAGACAATAAATATAGGCCTAGGGTTTTAAGCTTTGGTTGATTTCAAATGGAATCTACAAGTTAATAATAAATATGTTGGATTCACATCTCCATCTTAACCAAAAATAAAAGTTAAATAATAGTATTAAATCAACTGAAACTGTATTTAAAGTATGATTTGATTTGATTTAGTCCTATTCTTTAATTTGTAGACAAACTGGAATTAAAACCAGGCTCAGTGGCACAGATGAAGCTGTCGAAGTATAAGATACATAGAAGATATGTTGACAACCAAACACAATTCAGTGATAACACATTAAGCTTGTTGTATTAAATAAACAAAATACCTGACATTGTATTCCCATTTGAACTTTAGTGTGCTTTTAAATGGTTGAAAGCACAGTGATAACACATTTAGTTGACAACCAAACCAAAAATCAGACATTGTTTTTTAATTGGAATTTGGTTGTGCTTTTAGATGGTTGAAAGCATGATAACAAATTGGAATTCAACAAACTTTTGGCTGTCTTTTTGAGTGGGTGAAAATAGGATGGAATCTCATTGATTAATGTATCTACCAAATATTACCCATGTTGAAATGACGCGGTGTGCCCAGTGGGAAGTTATACTGTATACTAAGAGGTGACTTACTGTAATCTCAGCCTTACCATAGTGTTTCAGGAAGGGTTCAAATTCATTCTGGAAGGTCTCTCTCTGCAGCTCGAACACAAACAGCTGTCCCACAGGGGTATAAGCTTTGATGTCTGCCTCGACCACCAGTACACTGGCCACACAAACTGTGTACAAGTAGATAGGAGCACAAGTACCAAAGGATATCACTATTTGATAAGGAAAAGTTACATGAGGTTACAAATAACATGAAACTTGGACAGTGAACTGATTTGCACTTAAACACCATGTCCACACCATTACGCAGCCTTCTGGCGTACAACACAATCCTTGGCATAGCTGTTAAAATGATATTTTCTGTCATTTCACATAATGTCATATGACTTCAAAATTGTATATATACTGGCAGCACAATATGACTCCTCTTGTCAGACACCTATTTAATCACTGGTAGGTTCTCTAAAATATCCATCATAAAACACAAATTATATTTTCAATAGAAGAAGTGATCTTTGTCAATAAACAAACCGCTTGTCAATGTTGTCATATTCACTATTATAAAGTCACAAATACTTAACCTTGCCTGTTAAAATAAATCTCCAGCCTGTCCAGTCTGCCATCTTGTTTTGAGCTGTGATTGACAGGGCCAAGAGGAAAGGAGGGCTGGGTCGCGCCCAGTCAGCCAGGCTCTTCAGGGCTATTTCTGACCCACACACTACGCAGTAATAACTTCCTAAAGTGTGTGTGTACGTGTGTGTGTGTGTGTGTGTGTGTGTGTGTGTGTGTGTGTGTGTGTGTGTGTGTGTGTGTGTGTGTGTGTGTGTTTGTGTGTCTGTCTGGGTGAGAGTGTGTGTGTGCCTGCATGCCTGTAGGTTTGAGGTATAATAAAACACTAGCCGTGTAGTCTGCCTTCCATGTCTAAATGTGTCATGTTAACACTTTCCCCTAGTCTTTCACCCCTCCTATACAATGGTAGAGAAAACTATACTCAACAAAAATATAAACGCAACATGCAACAATTTGATTGATTTTACTGAGTTAAAGTTCATATGAGGAAATCAGTCAATTTAAATAAATAAATGAGGCCCTAATCTATGGATTTCACATGACTGGGAATACAGATATGCATCTGTTGGTCACAGATACATACAAAAAAATGGGCCTCACAATGGGCCTCAGAATCTCGTCACGGTATTTCTGTGCATTCAAATTGCCATCAATAAAATGTGTTCATTGTCCGTAGCTTATGCCTACCCATACTATAACCCCACCGCCACCATGGGGCACTCTGTTCACAACGTTGACATCAGCAAACCACTCGCACACACGATGCCATACACGTGGTCTGCGGTTGTGAGGCCGGTTGGACATACTGCCAAATTCTCTAAAACGACATTCTCTAAAGCCGCCACAGCTTATGGTTGAGAAATTAACATTACATTCTCTGGCAACAGCTCTGGTGGACAGTCTTGCAGTCAGCATGCCAATTGCACGCTCCCTCAGAACTTGAGACATCTGTGGCATTGTGTTGTGTGACAAAACGGCACATTTTAGAATGGCCTTTTATTGGCCCCAGCACAAGGTGCACCTGTGTAATAATTACATTTTTACATTTTAGTCATTTAGCAGACGCTCTTATCCAGAGCGACTTACAGTTAGTGAGTGCATACATTATATTTTTTTATGTTTTATTGTTTTTCATACTGCCCCCCTCCCCCATGGGAAACAAACCCACAACCCTGCAAGCCATTCCCTCCCCTACCCTGGACGACGCTGGGCCAATTGTGCGCCGCCCCATGGGTCTCCCGGTCACGGCCGGCTACGACAGAGCCTGGATTCGAACCAGGATCTCTAGTGGCACAGCTAGCACTGCGATGCAGTGCCTTAGACCACTGCGCCACTCGGGATATAGTAGCTATGCTACTATATCTAGCCTAATCATGCTGTTTAATCAGCTTCTTGATATGCCACACCTGTCAGGTGGATGGATTATCTTGGGAAAGGAGAAATGCTAACTAACAGGGATGTAAACAAATTTGTGCACAACATTTGAGAGAAATAAGCTTTTTGTGCATATGGAAAATGTCTGGGATCTTTATTTCAGTTCATGAAACATGGCACCAACACTTTAAATGTTGCATTTATATTTTTGTTCAGTGTAGATTGCCAGTCATCATGTTCAATCAATCCTCTTAATTATCTGGCAATTGTGATTCCACAAAATGTATGTGGGGAGAATAAAAAAAAAAAAAAAAAAAAAAAAAAAAAAAAAAAAATATATATATATATATATATATATATATATATATATATATATATAAATAAGAACATCTATTAAATAGATTACTGTCACTCTACTGTATAATTTATACTACTTAAACACCCCGAAAATGTATCTTCTATGTTCTCTAAAAATGTAATTGCTGGTTGGTGGGCCTTTCTATATCATTCACACTGATATCACTGACTTTCCAGTGGCTTTCATGAATTAAATAAAAGATGTAGCTATGCTACTATATCTAGCCTACACCTTAGGCTATATAACCTTAGGCTATATCACCGATAATAAATAAATAAAAAGTAGACTAGGTCAGCCTTATGCTGCATTGAAAATGCCACTATGTATGCGTGAGGGAGTATGCATAACATGGCCTATCTCAATGGGAGTTCTGCTTCTTGGTTCCATATGTTGTAATTTCGGATAAAAACATTCCTGGTCGTTATGTTAACCTTTATCTGCCTATATATTCTGAGATATAGCTCATTTACAGTCTTTATTCGTAGCTAGGGAAAATGCATTGGACGGACACGGTATGGAGCGCATTATTTACATGCAGACTAAATGGCATACTCTACTCTACGCCCTCACAAGAATGTAAGAATGTAGGTTCTCACCGACTACTGGTAAAACATTGTATAACACATTATATCATCAAACTTTTAGGCTAGACAGGAACTAGTGGATGCAGGAAGCGACGATATAAAACGGATACATCATCATTGGACGCAGTAATCTGATGCATGCGTGTTTTGATTTCTTCAGGGTCCTAAAGTGCCCAAACTGTTCAGTGTAAAGTAGATTTCTGTTTATTTGGCTCGTCTACTTGATATCATAATTGTAATTATATAGAACTTGTGTATGGAGTAGGCCTTACACATATATTGATTATCACTAGGCTAATATTCAAGTACTAAAAACGTAGCGTGAACCCGACTAGTGCTATGACCCAGTTGCGTCCCATCCTCAGCAGCAGTCTGCTTTTACGCGAGCGAGGAGGACCCAGAAATCAGCAGTTCAGAAAATCAAGAGATCAAAATGATGCTGATGCTCTTGTAAAGGGATTAAACTGAATACATCTGTCGTCAGTGGAAAATCCAGTGTTCATTGGGTTACTGTTCCAGTTTTCTGCAGTGATGTTTTTGTAACCAGGGCATTTTTCTCCGGGTTTTTGGACAGGTTGGTGTTTTAATTACTAGCGAGTTAATGACTAATGAATGCATCGTCTTTCACCATAGGATTAGGCTACTGGATGCACGCGGCCTAAAACAATAACCGTTGTTTTTTTATTCTCTTCTGCTATTCAGTTCTAGTCGGCACATAGGTTCACCGTCTCCCCAACAGAATTGACTGTTGGTGAGAACGGACCGATTTGTGCTGACAACCGAGGAAGGGAAAGGGAGAAATGCCGTTGCTGAGCAGCCGCTGTGAAGCTTGACTGATCATGATGAAGACCGATACCTCATCTTCCAAGAGCACTGGCTCAGGTTCGACGCTGAGGAGCCCATCCCCGCACCGGAACGCATACGAAGCGGGGATGCAGGCGCTGAAGCCTGTGAAGGACAATGCTGCGAATGGCGATTATATGCAGGAAGGCCCCCGCGGCCGCCGGAGCTACGGCTCCAACGTGCACCGTATCAAGAACATGTTTCAGCAGATGCAAGGCCCAGGGAGCATATCTCCCGGCAGGGAGGGGGAGGGAGGGGAGGACCTGGAGAAGACTACTGAGAGGGTGCGTCTCTCCCTTCCCAGAGCCGGTAGCCTGAATGAGAATGTGGACCACAGCGCCTTGCTGAAGCTGGGATCCACTGTCTCAGAGCGGGTTAACCGGTTCGACCCCAATGCCAAAGCGGAGAACGGGCAGGCTCCCCGAGCCTCATCACCCAGCTACTCCAAGCTGCAGGAGACACGGAAGATCTTTGAACAACAGCAGGCGGCACAGCAGCTGGAGCTGGAAAATCAGGCCGCTGCCACCAACCGGGTCCTGCTGAAGACAGAGCGGACCTCTGGCCTGGGCTTCCATGATGGCAGGCTGGACGTGGTGGCGCGGTTCAACGGCAGCACAGAGTCCCTGGACAGCCTGGACACCACCGAGGCCGTGTCCCCCACCGTCTCCCAGCTCAGCGCTGTCTTCGAACGGGCCTCCGAGCTCCGCAACAACCTGCACCGCCTCTCCTCCACCCCTCCACTTCCCTCCCGGGGGGTCAGCACCAAGGTGGGGGTGCAGCTCAACTCCAAAATCATCTCCAAGAGGGCGAACCGTGCTTCTGCCCTCCCAACGGCCAGCCAGGAGGAGGAGGGTGGTGGGGGGCGTAGCCAGAGGGACCTGGATGGGCCTCCCAGAAGCCTCAGGGCTAAGGCTGCCCCCTCATCCTCCTCCACCTCCGATGGCCTGAACGGAGGGCAGAATGGAGGCCACAGTGGCCCGACACTCCCCGAGCCCAAAGAGGTCCGGGATAAGACTGGGACCCAGGCCAAAGCTGAAGGCCAGCATGAGGATCACTCTAGTGACCAGGAGCCCAGCAGCACCTTAGTGAAAGCTGACATCCACCACGTCTCTCTGGAGAATGGAGAGAACAGTACAGAGAGTGAGGCCCAGGTGAGGGAGACCTCTCCCAAGGGCACTAGCAGTGAGCGAGGGAGCCAGGGTGGTGATGGAGAGATGGGACAGGGGGGTACAGCGGTGGAGGGGGAAGAGAGGACTGTAAAGGAGGATCAGTCAGGGGGAGAACAGGTTGATATCAGAACGTACAGCGCAGTGGGGGAGGACTCTGGAGGGAGCCAGCAGGATGAGGATGAGGAGGATGAAGATGAGCCGTACGAGCCTGAGTCCAGCTGTCATGAGAAACCTGGGCTGCCTGAAGAGGAGGACCCTCCACCCAGCCGG